AGGAAATGAAGACACAAATCCTTCATCTGAAATACATACTCCATGTTTGTCCGTCTGAATACTACTATTCCAAAGACTCAGCATTTCTTACTCCAAAAACGTATTTGCAAGGTTAGTTATCTATAGAAAGGTGTCCGCAAGGACAGCTATTTATCTGGTGTCTACGATACTTATCTCGAAGTACAGCTTCTTTTGGTAAATAAGTTTATCTGGCCTGCCAATCCCTCAAAAACTGTGTTGAAACCAAAATTCACACAACACTGTTACACACCTGCTAAAAGCAAAACCTGAAGATTGATACCATATAATTAAACACTTTCAGGGAAAGCATCAATAGGGATTATTTGACCACAAAACATTATCATTTCAAACTGTTTAATTTGTCATTGAAGATGTCAAAAGTAACTAAGGTGTGCAACGCTAGGATTTAAATCAAAACACTAGCACTGTGTCCCAAAATATAAACAGTACTAAAATTTTAGAGCAGATACCAAATCAGGAATCAAAGCAAAGAACTACTGGGTATTTAATATCTTTAAACTGTCATTTAACAAGATCATGACATGCCCTAAAGCAGCGTGTGAAATATTCGCTACGTACAGGAAGGAGAAAGATTTGCTCTAACAGTGAATGAAGCTAATTTGCAGATTCTCTTGATGCATCATTTTCATTACCAGTGAGGGGGAAAATGCTGCAATATTTCTGCAGACCCTAATGCACTTTACCTTACAATAAAGCAAAGCTTCTTGGTCTCCTACATATTAGGTATGTTAACCACGTATGTAGAGTCCACATTACAGCTGGAATTGGTTTTTTACTACGAAATTTAGAGATTTATTATGAATACTTTCAAAAGTGTAAAACTGGCTGTCAGTATTTCCTTAACGATGTTTCAAGAGGGGGGGGTTTAAGCTTCAGTCTCAAAGGATTGCTTCTACCCTGAAATTTGACAAAGAACAGGACCAACTCAGGGCAGAGTGTCCTAAATCCCACTGCAGTGTAAATTGAGGGCATTTTGTACAAAGTGTTCTGTACCACATGTGAGCCTAAAGCCTCTGCCTAGTAAAATGAGGTCAAGGAGCAGAAGGTACATGAAACAGTCAACCTCTGTATTTCCCATCTATAAAAAATTAAGACTAAATTACTAAACGTTCTAAAACACTCCTGAAAGATGGCCAGGAAGAACAGCAGCACTGTTTATGATTCTCTTCTAGCCCAAATCTCCACTGGTTACCGAGCAAGGGCTCTTTTGTGAGACTATTAGAGGCATAATAACTGAAAGAAAATTGTGGTTTTGCAAAAGGCATAAAGGACAGTATCTATACTTTCAGGGGGTTCCAATCAGACAAAATAGATGTATATTAAACTAACATTTTGTACCAGCTACTGACAGCGTTCACAAGTCTTACTCTGTGGAGTCTGGTGGTTCATAACAATCTGTCTGATCTTCACAGTTCTCTGTATGACGAGCTGCTAAAATGCACTCCTTATACACCAATACTATTTTACCAAGAAACCGGCTAGATTACACTAGGCCTCACTCTGGTGCTAGTCTAATGCTAAAAGACTACAAGCTACAGAAACTAACCCCCATCATTTCCTTTAGAAAAGTCAGCAGACACCTTGGCTGAATTCCTGCATCAAATAAGCCATAGTCTCAGCTAGGAGAGTAGAAACAAGGCCAAAACAAATACTCTTTTCTAGACTGTGATGGACCTATCACATTCACTACCCATTCCGTAATGATGTTTGACAAGCTTGTCATTTATTAAACCATTGCCAAGAGCTAGGTGATAAAGTGCTCTCCTGCTCTCAACCAGATGCATGCAACAAGCATCGGGGGGTTGTTTCACAGTACAGTAAACTGACTTTGTCAGTGGGCGCTGCCAAAAGGGATGGCCCCAATTCCTGCACTGGCTTGACCACATCTTCTTTCTTTCTCACTAGCATTTGCAGGAGACTTGTCTGACTGCAAAAAGCCAAGGCAATATAAAAGTACTTACTTTAGGGCTTTTTGGTTGCTGGCTTTTTTTGCTCGCTTGTTGCTTTTTCCTTTTAGCAGAGTTAGTTGTCTACCAGACTCATATATAGAACCAGCCATCCCCTAGGGTCAGACATGAGCTAGTACCAGTGCTAGCACAAGGCAACTGGACAGCTTTGTAAGCAGCAGGCAGTGTAGTTGTTTTGTGAAACCATACCCTTACAGGAGTTACACAGTTAAGCAGAATATTCTTCTGCCATCAGTGCAACCGATCCAGTCCCAAAGGAAGTAATTTCAGGCAAGGCTTCTTGTCTAATAAGCTATAAAAGCAGTTTCTAATCTGTCACTTACAACACCATAATATAGGGAAAGGGGCAGGCAGGAGGAATCACTACTAATGGTTTATTTTCCAAAATTGAGAGTTACAACAGTTAAGCCTACACTTTTCAAATATATTTCTGCATTGACATATTCAAAGTGGGTTTAGAGATCATTTTGCAGATGAAGCAAATGATTTTTTTTTTCTTTATGGGGCAGAATATGTTGCAGGTTCACTGATGTGAAGCTGAACTAAAATAATTATGCCCTTTGAAAATTTAGCCAGATATAAATAAAGTATTAGCATATGGATTTGGGTGCCCAACTAAGAAATACGTTTTAAAATTGCATCCATTTACTTCAAAATGGAAGTAAAGAATAGTTTGGCTTTTTTTTCCCCTGCAGAAGATGGTCAGCTCTTTCCAGGCTCTCTGGTGCTTGCAAACCATTCACCTACCATGACCTGAAGCTCCCACTTTGATAAAAAGTGATCACCACTGTACTTTTTATAATGGCTACCTATCATTAGCATTACCTTCAAAACTACAGGCTACCTGGCTACATCTCTACCACATTTGTCCTTTCAACACAGCCTTCATAACCTCTTTTTAAAAATAAGAATACAAAGCAGCCTGTAAGAGGAGCTTTCTACACAAAAGGAATTTCCCTTCTTGCTACCCTTGTGAAAAGACCCTCTGAACTTGTCAAATCCACAGCTATTTTCCACACTGAACATTAGCATACTAAATATCACTAGAAAAATCACTTCCTGCTGGTATTTTACACAAAGAGTTACTTAAAACCTCAAATCAGCAGGCTGTGGCAGTGACTTCAAATCCCCATTGAGCAGGGATTATTTACATGTTAGACTGGGGTTTCAGGAAGTGCTAGGGGTTTACCCTTTTTCATCCAAGCTGACACATCCTAAAGGCCAAGGAAACTTTGAAAGCATTTCCTTACACTTACAGAGATATGGCAGAGATTCTGCAAGAAACATTTAATCCTGAAGTATTTGTAATTTGATTGAAAGTGGACATTGGAATACAGTACTAAGCTGCAGAAATATTTTTTTTTTCTTTAGAACAAAGAATAACTGAATCAGGAGAGAATGCTCTTTGAAACCATAAGGTGCCTTTTTCTTCAAGTGAAAGGCTAAGGTTCTGAAGATTAATAGCAGACTTCCATCACTGTTAGTAGAATAACTCAAAGTGGCCAATACACACACAAGGCATAGCAAAGAACAAGAACAGAAACCAGCTAAATCAAGAAACAAAAATACCAACAATTTAAAGTAGCTACACAGATACAGACTGATAGAATCCTGTCTCTTTGCCATTCTCAAAGTTATATAATGAAGTCATCAAAAAAAGTAATTATTTTATAATTATGCCATAAAGGCATTCAACTGCAAATTTACCAATTAGAAAAATAATACTGAAAGAAAACCAGACTCCCACTAATTAAACAGCGAGCATGAACTGTATTATAGGGTGCTTGTATTCTGATCTCCAAATTGAAGATCCTTATTGAAATGATGGCTACTAAAATGCAGCAGCGGTTTCGGCAACCTTTTCTAGCGCATGCTTAAATATAATTAACAGCCTCAATCAGGAAACTAAAACGAAGTGTGTGTGCGCGCGCACCATATTCAACAGCTAAACATGTAACTACACGCTTACAGCTCAGAACACACATTTACTTTCACTCATTTTACAAAGAGTAAAAAGAGGACTATGCTTTATGGACCTGAGACTTGGCATGGAAGTTGTGGCAGTTCATGTAATCTTCCTTACATAAAACCAGATGAGAAAACCACTACACTTTCAGACTATTAAAAAAAAAAAAAAAAATAACATTATCGCCACTGCATATGAAGCTGCTTGCATAAACAGCACTGAATATTTAGAATAGGAAAGAGAAAACCTTGGTTTAAAGTTAGGCCAAACTATACTAAAAAGGCTTACCATGCAAGCTTCTCTGGCTTGATGAACTGATGGGTCTTTTTCTAGGATTGCCTTATAATCTTCCAGAGCTTCATCTAGTTTTTCTGTTTTTTCATATAGTTCTGCTCTCCTCAGCAAAGCTCTAATATAGTTAGGATCTAATTCCACTGCTAGAAAACAAAAAAAAGCACAGTATTTTACTTGAAACATTTCTATACCCTTCAAATGAATTTCTAAGTCCGTATTAAGTTCTTAATAGTCATCTTTACAACGTAGCTTAGAACCAAGCAGAGCCACAGTTTAAAAGCTAAGTGATAACTCAGAAAAGCATATAACTGCTTGTGAAAGTCTAATGCAAATGATCATACTTCATTTAATGTCTACAATCTAATCACAGATAGAAGTGATTTATAATGCACAAACATTTAATCTCGCAGTACTGTATATGCAGAGATTCTAAGTGGTGCCTCAGAAACTTTAAGGACCTGTAAGATATTTTTCACCTTTTGTATATTTAATAAGTGTGTATTCTTAGATTACAGGTAAAGCTAAATATACCTAAAGATAAACACAGCAGGGTGTTATTCTGAATTTAATATCCAACAGTCAAAATTGGGTTGGGAATCCACAAATGGTTAAATTAGCTCTATAAGTTAGAAGAGGGACATACTGACTGAATTTAAGCTTTTCCTCTCCTTACTTCCTTGGCAGCCACGACCATGTTTATAGATGCAGTTATGACTGAATGCTAAACTTAACAGTAACCTGCAAATGGTAATTTCTCAAGAATTTCTTCATCCATTTTTCACCATAGAAAGAGGGAGTATGAAAGACTGCCCATTTTATAATTACTAACCCATTAAAATGTTTCTTGGGACAATTAAATCTAGGATAATCTAGCTAAACGTTCTAGCTTATTTCTTCTGGAAGGACAAAGACAATGCTACAGTCAGCAAGTTGCAGGTTAGTGTGAATTGCTCTGCTGTGCTCCAAGTGTTGCACTGCAGTTTGTAAGCCAAGTCCCTGGGGAGTGTCAAGCGACGGTAGGTTTAAGTCTCACTGCTGCAAAGCAGACCAATTCCCTTTCAGCCACTACAAAAATCAACAGAAGTGTTTTTCAAAATGCACCACCACCAAAACAAGGCAAACCCCCAAAGTGACAGAGGCCAGCTAGAATTTGTTACCCTTAAGAACACTTTTAGCATGTACAAACTCATATTTGCTGTACAAGCAGTGCTGGCACACAGCCATTGGATTAGTTTTCTGACTGGTAATTTGGACTTTTTTCCCCAGCTGTCATGGGGAGTTTAACAAATATTCGAGCATGGGTGAGTGGGTGGAAGCAATAAAGCAATGCACAGCTGAAATGATTTCACTAGAAGCCGCAGAGAGAAAACTACGCAGGACAAGAACGGGAAAGCACAACCCCATGTGACAAAGCAAGAGCCTTGCAAAAGGGACTTGATAAAGCTTTTAATTCCACAAGGCCTCACGGTTCTTTGGAATCTGGGATTAAACCAAGATTTGGGGGGGAGTGGCAGGTGAAAGTGGGTTTAAAATCATAGGTGTAAGAAAACAGCTTCCACAATAAAAAGACTTTCCTATTAAAGAAGTACAAACAGCAACCTTACTTGCATAAGAGTAAATTATTGCATAGAAATACTATGCAATACTTGCATAGAAAGTAAATTATTACAGACAGGAAAAGCTTGATAGACATTTTACAAAAGAAATAATACAAATAATATAAATAACTCTAGATTCAGATGTCTTCCACCTCAGCTTTTCTATAAATTCTTTAAAGACCCTTACACCCAAAATTATAGCTCTGCAGGAAGGCACTAACTGGCATAATTTATGTATGAAAGATCTGGCACAAAAGCAGTACACAGAAAAAAAGTCATACCTTTGCTGCAGTCACTTAGGGCAGCTTCTGTCTTGTCCTAGAACACAAAATAGTTTTGTTATATTTAAGTCATATTTCTTGGGAAACAGTATTTACAATTGCAAGCAAAAAGGTTTGTCTGGCATTCCAAGGAACTGGGATGTTCATGTAATCAAGGCTTTTCATACCGTTGCTTCTGATGTAAAGCTCTTTACCAGTGATTAGCTTCCTCCCTGTGAAGGCTGCCAGTGTTCAAATTGCACGGCTGCCCCACTAATCGGTCTGCACTGAACAGCCAGCAGCAAGCTACAGTCAAAAGGCTGAGTCACATCTGCAGGCCTTGGCTTAACTGAGCTACAGCTTTTCTACCTTTGTCAAATAATTAAGGGGTTGGAATAGACAGTTCCCAAGACTCCCAGATAAATTCTTGTCTGTACGAGCTAAGACATTTGGAAAGCAGATTCTGCCTTTAGCACTAATACAGCTTTCTCTGCAACAGAGAAAATGCACGAGAGTTCCAGAAGTGGTAGGGACAAGATTTTAGTGCACCCAGACAACCACAGTTAGAAGATGAGAGCCAGGCAATATGCTTATAATGAAACAAGAAAAAAAACCAAAAGAGCCGAGACAGATCCTATTTTCATTCAAACAAAAAGAGCTTAAAAAAAACCCCAAACCAAAATAAAAATCAGGCTGTTCTGTGCTTATATTGTTGACTTAAGTAGCAGTAATCTTTCTACACCCAATGAACTATTTTCTCCTCCATAAAACAGAAGCTGTCTCACAGAATGCCTCACAAGCTTTTATTGTAGTGCAAAGCAAATGGGTGCAGCAGGTATGGGAGAACAACCATAATGGGGAAGTTATTAATAATATGAATCTATTTTCAGAGTAATATATTGGTCTGTCAGGTTCTACTGATCTATACCGGTGACATACACTAGTTTGTACACAGTTCTTCTATCATATTGGGCTCCTTTGGGGACTACTGGATTAATTTCCCAGTGATATGAATAGTTAATATCTGTATCATGAGGAGATTTTTCAGTTTACAGCTTTCATATTTGAAATGTTCCAGCATCTGTTATTACAGATTTTATTCCGTATTTTCCTTGTCTGCTCAAAGAATTCAGTATCCCAACAGAGAATTACATAATTCTAGCTGAACAAGAATACTCTATGCTGAGTAAGTATTTATTTATGCCTAAATATAATTTATGCCTAAATATGGCTGCAAGGTACATTTCTAAACAGAGCTACATCTATCTCAATACCAGAGGAAAACTGCAAGAAAGTTCCCTTTGCAGGAAGGTAAACTGAGGATAGGAGTTACTGTGCTTTTTTTCTACAATAATTTAATCTTAAAAATGAAGTCAAAAATAGGGAGTAATTTCCCCTGAATTCTCAGTATCTCCTCTTTCTAAAGAAGTGAAAGTTTCTGTCCAGACAGATTGTGTTCTATGCCTTCCATGCTACCTAACTTTATTGCTGATTCTGGTAACATCCTGGCACTTTTCCCTGGTCAAGGAATAGAAAACATATGAAGAAAGCTGTAGCCATTCTATCCAGACCATGCCCTACTACATAGGTCTGTCCTACTATATAGCCTGCTTCCTCCACAGTTGCTAACTGAATTAATAAAGCCATAGTTAGGAAGCCCTGCTTATGCCTCAAAGCATTTGCGCCAATTAAATGAAGACAAGTATATGACAATCCAGGCTTTTATAAAAAAGACTAACTAGCTACAATTCTAAACAATCTCATACATGGTCTGCGTACACTAAACATGCTTAAAAACATCTGTACCACATGAACTTTGAATTTCATTAAAGCAGAGAGAATGAAAGAAAAATCAGTGTTTTAAACATGATGCAGCAGAGTAACTGTGAACATCTGTTCCAATTGCAACTTTAAGGTTTGTATTCATCCTCAGTAAAACCAAGCATACCAGCATTTCTACTGGGAGCATGACAAAGTGCGCAAACAGCAAAACCTGCAAACAGCTTTATTTCTTTGCTCTCCTTTATGCACCCCTAATGACTTCATTATTGCATTTGTCATATAATCAATACATGGTGTTTCATAAAATAAAAAGAATATTCACCTGTTTCATTTTTGCAGCAGCTCTGTTTGAAAATAAAACAGCCCTATCTTTCTGGAAGCAGGCTGGACAAATCTGCAGAGCCTTCGTGTAAGAGTCTTCTGCCTCTCCATAGTCTGCAGATGCAACAGCAAAAAAACCAAACCAGAGCATTTATTTCAAATGCCAGTACAGTCAGTGAACCACATGGCTAAGATTTCTTTGGAAACATAAAACCAGACTCAGTAGCTGCTCTCAGGCAAAATACATAGATCGATGACAATTAATTATTTTAAAATAGACACCCTTGTAAAAGCAGAAATATAGTGCTGACCTTAATGCATGATGTTCTTACAATTCTCATCCCTGAAATAGTTTTATTCTATTTGAGCACCAGCCTTAGAGGTAGAATCTCTTTAGATTAAGCGTACCCTTGATCTGAAAAGAAGCATGTGCTGAAACATGTCACTTCACTGATACCTGTTCAAAGCAGCTACGGAGAGATTTTATTTGCCACATCATCTTCAACAACTGACTGAAAGGTCAGTCACCACCAGTGGCCAGTTATTTATTACTGACCTCAATCCTGTTGTTATGTATTAATTATGTTCAGAACGTGTCCACTTCTGGCATGAGCTAGAAATTTACATACCTCTAGATTTTTTTTTTAAATATACTTATGTGCGCATATGTCTACATCTCTCTATATACACATATAGATGTACAAGTAAGTACATATAGATGTACACACGTGTGTGTATATGTGTATATAGGTGTCTGTATACATACGTACACATGCATACATAAACAAAATGTATAACAGACAGAGTCAGCGGATAAAAAGAAACACACAAATGTTGAAAGGTACGAGAGCACTACTGAGTCCTGCATCAATTCTAAGCACACGCACCAGCAAAACTCAGAGCCTAATGGAAGCCTTTTTTGATTAGTAAAAGAAACCCTGGCACCTGGAAGGCAGTCAATTCTCTATCATGTTCTTGGATTTAAACACTTAGCTTTCATGAGAATCCTGCTTTAGTAATCCAAGTCTTTGTGATCTAAACTCTTAAGGAGGTCTGCTACCTCTTTGTGTTCTCTAGAGCTGGATGCAAAATGATACAGATGATAATTTGAACGAAGATAGGTGTGAGATCTTCCTATGGGTTTTCTGAAACATCACTATGATGGCTAAGCCTTAATTTAAGATTCTTTAACATCCATATGGTGTTAAAAGATTATCAACCCACCTCCTTTCTTGAACTGCTCATTTCCTTTCTCCTTCAGTGCTGTGCTCTCCTTTCTTCTTTTCTACAAAAGAAAAGACAATGTCTCAAAGTATTTAATTGAAATGAACAAGTAGGTCAGCTGCAGTTCCAAAAAAAGTATGAATGGAAATCAGAATAAAATATAACTTGAAGAATTTTAACTAGTGCCAAGATCACTTGCTTGTAGCCATTGTGACATGATATACTTTATATATCCTTGAAACACTGGAGTATAACAAGGCAGTTAAAAAGCTCCAGTTCATGGAAAACAGTATGCAGAAAGAGCATCCATAGTGAATCACATGGTTTAAACTAATACGTTAGCTTTTTAGCTGGCTGTTTGCTTCTCCTTTCCAACTCAGTTTAATACAATCAGTGCAGGTCAACTATGTAGAATATATTTTACATGTAAAGTCTCAAAAGTTTTGCTCGAAATAATTCCACCTCAGAAATCCACAGTTACTTTCAGAGATGTACAAAGCACGTTGAGCTGACTCCATTGGAAACAGGCCCATGGATAATGCTGCCCTGAAAGATTTCTTATGCAGAGAGTGACTAAACCATCAGATCCAGAGACAGGAAGATTGTTCAGTTATACAGTGAAAATTGCACATGCTGAGCAGAGTTGTGTTTTCAACCATGAATATCTTAACAGTACTCTTGGCACAAGTGAAGTTGACATGAAAGCTCTTAGCCTTTGACACAGAAAACACAGGATGTCATCAAGTCATCTCTTCAACCTATTTACAGTGGAAGTCTTTCACATGCAGACATACCTCACACAAGCAAAAATAAAGCAGTATAAGACAGTAACATCAAGAAGCAATGTTCACATTCATGAATCATTTCTATGGTAGAAAAATGATCATTTGGCCACTGATTTCACCCCCAACACACATGCATACACAAAGGACTTAAATCAAGGTGTCTATAAATTACAGATCATTGAGCAATTAAAAAGCCAACACTAGGAAAATGCGCAGTTTCCTTTCCTGCAGATTGTGTAAATCAAGGATTAATGCAATTATCAATATCGCACAGAACATCTCCTTGGAAACAGCTAAATATAGTACTCTTTGTGGAGCGCTGCACCATCTCACAGCTATGCCAAGTAGCTGACAAACAATACAAAATCAGAGGTTCTCTCTTCTTGCTTTTATTGGTTTTGGAAAGTAATTCACCCGACCATTGTCACCATCTTAGTAATGACAGATCACAATGCTCTGAAAACCAGGCTCAGGGGAATGGCATTCAGTTGTGACACACAAAATTACACAGTGAAATATCATCTGACCCTTGCGATACATGCCTAGATCACTAAATTTTTCCTATTGCCTATTAAATATATTTTCTAATACTCATTGCTCCTCACATTTTAAAAAACACTCAAAACACAGGTCAGACAAAACATGCACCACTATTTAGAAATGGGCTTTCTTCCTGGGTGGACTGACAAACCTACGCAAGTCCTTCCACAATGTCACTCACACCAATGTACACAAGCCAGCTGGTGCTTCCTAAATATGAGCATACAAACAAATCTGAGCAGTTAAGGCACAAGCACATATTCTTTGACTATATGCAGGATTCTGCTGTTCAGCACAGGGAGTACGTAACTGCATTCGAAAGCTGTACCCAAACTTTTGAAGTGCCACACAGAACAGCTCCAGCAAGGTCGCTGCCACATGCACAGTTGGCCCTTCGCAGAAAGAAATTTTTAAAATATCCTGAATGCATATAGAGTGAAAATTAGCACAATAGAAGTAATTTTCATACCACTGCACAAAGCAGCCAGATCTCAGCACAGAACAGGTCTGGAGATGATGATCCTACTGGAAAACATGAAAGATCTACATAGACAACCCTCATTCAAGGTAAGAAATGCTTGAAACACTAGCCCTACTGACTTCATTGCTCATGACCTATTTAGAACTGGCCTTTAAGTGCCATTAACTGATTCACTGTTGCATAAGGTAGAGTTACAACTCTACAATAATGAAAGATTTTTTCACATGAAATGAAAACTACAGTATGATCACAGTACTCATCTGCATAATGATGCAGAAACCCTAAAATCAAGGATTACTGGATGAAAAGCTCTACCTGTAGTATCATTATTTTGTTTAATTTTATTAAAATTATTACAAAATGTTACATATTTACCCCAGTTAAGTATTAAATACTAATATAAAAAGTGATTTGCAGCAAGAAGGCTTCAAAAGAAAAGCTTTAAATTAAAAAAAGAAAAAAAGAAAAGGAGTAAAAGGAACAAGAAAAGTTCTTCAATTCTGGGATTTCTTCTCAGGTAGCCAAGAGGATTGTGACCTAGAGTCTCAAGAGCACAGAAGAAAGACCAAGGTGGCTGTACAGCCATGTGTGCTGGAGGAACGTGATAAATGAAAGTTCTGAGCAACTGAAGAGTTTAAGGATTGTCATGCTGGGAAGCTGATGATTCATACAACTCTCCTCCGAAAGCCTCTTCCTTGGTATGTCCTCTTGCCTGCGAATCAAACTGCACAAACTTGAAGGATAGAGAACTATTAGTCACATAACTGTTAGACACATACAAATGTCAGTGACAGTCTTGCAGTCACTTCTGACTATTTGACCAGAAAAGGTGTTCTCTAAGCATGTTTCAGAAGCCAACAGCGTTGTTAAGAACACCATATATGGGTTTGCAGCTTACTCAGCTCCCTAGAAAGCAGCAATGCAAGCAATACAGTCCTGGTTCAAAACTAGTATTTCTGTTATAGCTTGACCAACATTTTCAAGATAGCCCAGTATTACAGGTTTCAGGCTGTCTCTTAAGTTCCAAACTGTACAAGTTTTCACAGTATTTTTCAAAAAGCTAAAGTCTACAGGGTACGTCATGCATTATTCTGGATTTGTATTTCAAGTATGACCCATAAGCAATACATAGTAGCACACTATCACCAAAAGCAAATTCCTCTGGCTTTTCCACAAAATGTAAAAGCATATGTATTAGCACATCACATCCTAAACACACTACCCTCTAAAGCACACTGTGTATTTGTGAAATAAATACATCATTTATTCCACCGTATATACATTTCTTTAACAGAAAATCCTAACACAAAAGTAGTGGAAAGTCAAATATTTTGCATGAATTTACATTTAACCTGAAAGGACTGCTCCAATGGATGCCATTAGAATCTGCCTACTACTCAGATTCAGGGTAAAAAAAAACCAAAAAAACACAAACCCCAAAACTAAAGTGCTGCTAGAAGACATAACCTCTTTACTCAGTATGCTGCATTTCCAGCTTCAATGGACAATTGCACATTGACTGGTCATCAGTTTAGTGTGATCATATCAGCCCAGAGTGAAAAAATTGCAAGTGACTTGTCCTTGGGACAAATTTTGCACAATGTCATTTCAGCATCCCCACCCACTAATTTTTCAGCAAAAGATTTAAGCAGCTGCAGGGCAGGCTACCCTTTCCTCAGCGAGGGAAGTAGGTCAGACTGAACTCCTAGGATGCTCTGCCGAAGGAAAAGATGTCTTGACCCACTACGTTCCCTGAGGCTGCTCATATACAACATTGGGGTCAGACACAACTTCCCCAACTTAGACTCTGTTATGATTTTCTGATATTCAAAGTCAGCCAAATCTTAAGGTTTGTTTTTTGCAAATGTTATTAAACAAAGATGGAAAATTCCAAGTGGCAGACATAAGTTTTTGATGTACAAAATCGAAAATTATTTTTTCAAAGTCCAGAAGAAATAACTATGTTTAACTAGTAATATGATTCTTAAAGGACCCAGTTAGAAATGTTTACAGATTTGGATACTGAATTGCAATTGTCCATATTCTGAAGAAATTAGGATCTTAACATAAATCTGCCTGGCAAGCAAGAGGTGCTGAAAATTAAAGCCTGATCTTAAGTAACAAGAAAAGACAGTTTGGCCTTCTGACAATAAAGCACAATTCAAATGAAAGGCCACCAAATACAGTCCCTGGATCTCAGCTACTCTGCCAAAAAACCTCAAGGGTTAAAAATAAAAGCATTAAAGCATTATTCTACTATTAGGGAAGAAAGCAACCTACACATTTTCAGATTGTTTTGGAAGTAAACAATATAATAAGTCCTGGAAGTGAAATCCTTAAATATAGCTGGTGAGAGCTGAAGGATGAACACCCTCTGTTTGTAATGATTCCAACTGTGCTTCCTCTGGCTGTTCCTATGCATTTTATTTGATCAATTGATTTAACTTTGCTAGGGAACTGTTCTTGGCTCCGGTTTTGTCAAGAGCAGCAAATGCATACCCTCTTCTCTGTAAGGCTATTTATACAGTGTGACAATGCACATCTGCATCTCATACACCCTTCTGTAAGGTCACCAAGTATCAGTCAATTTAAAATTACTGGGGTTCAAAGGGTGCACAGAAGCAAGGAATTTAAACAAATATGGAATATATTATTCAGCTTCAAATATCTATTCTATTTCTAAGTCATCCATTAGTAGTCATCTGCTTCCCCCTGCAGTTTTCTGAAGCTATTGCTGTATCACGCATTCAATGGTTTGAATTTCAATTTAAGCTTGTAGTCACTCAAAAAATCCTTTTTCAAGTCTTGCTAGAGTTGTCACTTGAAAACTGTGCCAAAGCTGCCCTCTACACTCAAGAAGCAAAGTAGTAAATATTGCTAGACTGGCCGATTTCTGCTCATTGTAACTCCAAGGTAAAGATGCATTAGTCTTTTTACTGCCAAATCACTCCCTTTTTTCTGAAATTGGAAGCAGCGCTTCCAGAGACAATAGGTCACATCCATCCTAGACAGTCAGTTTAGGTTAACACGCCAGACTAACTGTGACTGTTCCTGAGTGACAATACATGCCATTCAGTCATTCCTGTTCCAGAGGCAACAGCCTCAGGCAGAAAAGTGGAGCTGACCACTTAATCTATCACCACCACAAGTTGAAAAGGTCTCAGTTTGACAGCATCAGCGTCTTCCAGAGAAATGCAAAAATGAATATAAGACTAAAACCAGATAGCAGCACTGAAAGACAGACTAAGGTATACT